AAATATGATGTTTCCCCTGTCACAGGACACCGGAGTATTATCAAACATGAATTCGAGCATCTCCAGAGAAGATGGGCGCCAGAATGAGGAGGCTGAAGGCGTCACAAGCATCACCGGCGAGGAAGACACGCTCATCCAAGTCCTGGAAAGTAAGCTATCCATGTCGCCAAAAGCCCTCATCAAATCGGCCGGCGCGTGTCGTAATACGCAGTGTTTCTGGGCTGCATCATAGACACGGACGAGGACGTGGACATTTTGTGTGAGGCCAAGGTCTTGCACAACCGTTTAGCGACGCGCGGTGAGGCGGTTGCCTTTGTGGGCATGCTCGCGCAGACGGCGGCCTCCGATAATCTCGGCGAAAGCTACTTGAAGGAGGTGTTTCTGGGCTTGAACAAATATTACGACAACAAATTGCACAGTCATGTTGCCAGAGGTCAAGAGCAAATACTTCAGCTTCATGCCTCTCTGGGATGCCTCTATTCATCAAATTCGTAAATTTGTTAAAAAGAATTTAAATACTCCAAACGATAAAGAGGCGTGAGGTAACTATTCCAAATTTGCTTATCCGCTAAATATATATACGGAGTATACCCTGACCTTTATATTAAAAGTCACCATGATCATATGTTTTTGACAAATGCAATTTTATGGCGTGAAGTAACTATATCCAAATAAAGCTTTGAGCATTTTAAATTGTATATTTCTCGCATTGATTTTATAATTGTAAAAAATATATAATCATGGTGTAAAATTAACTTTTTATATAAAGTTCTTGATGGGTGCTTTGTGGTTGAAATGCTTCGGGCATTCAGCGGGGCGGTTCCCTTTGGGGAAGACGATCCATTTCTTTCAATGCAATGGTTACGATTCAGTCTCCGCCACGACTTCCTCTGCCTCGAGAACCAAATACCATTTTCCGTGCTCGAGAAGTTGTTCAAACTTACTGAAATGGACGACAAAAGCACACCCAAGGGAACATCTCATACGAGTTGTTTGTCCCTGCTGGCCCTCCACTTCTTTGACACCACAGGTGCATTCGCAAGAAAGGGCGGAGGGATAATGATCAGGGCCAGTTCATGGCACGAGTTTGAAGGCCTACATCTACTTGATTTAGTCCGGAAAAGTTATTTCCCCACGGGTTCTCGGGAGCAGAGGGAACCAGAATCTCGGTGCAAGGGGAACTGTTTCCGGTCGAAAGGCTGGAAAACTGAGTACCGCAACTTCCACCGCATCTCGAAGCTGCGCCGAGCCGAAATCAAGCTGAGCAGCAACAAGCGAGAGGCGGGGAGTTTCCTAGCGGTGGGATTCAAGCGGGGGAGGATCAGGATGCCCCCGCTTGCTCTAGACGACACAATGTGCGCGTTCTTGCTGAACTGCGTGGCGTTCGAGCAATGCCACAGGGGGAGCGACAGGCGCGTGTCGCAATACACGGTGTTTCTGGGCTGCATCATAGACACGGACGATGACGTGGACATTTTGTGTGAGGCCAAGGTCTTGCACAACCGTTTAGCGACGCGCGGTGAGGCGGTTGCCTTTGTGGCCATGCTCGCGCAGACGGCGGCCTCTGATAATCTCGGCGAAAGCTACTTGAAGGAGGTGTTTCTTGGCTTGAACAAGTATTACGACAACAAATTGCACAGTCATGTTGCCGATGTCAAGAGCAAATACTTCAGCTTCATGCCTCTCTGGGATGCCTCTATTCATCAAATTCGTAAATTTGTTAAAAAGAATTTAAATACTCCAAACGATAAAGAGGCGTGAGGTAACTATTCCAAACTTGCTTATCTGCTAAATATATATACGGAGTATACCCTGATCTTTATATTAAAAGTCACCATGATCATATGTTTTTGACAAATGCAATTTTATGGCGTGAAGTATTAATCATTTCAAAAATGAAATTTTAGAATGTAACTATATCCAAATAAAGCTTTGAACATATTAAATTGTATACTTCTCGCATTGATTTTATAATTGTAAAAAATATGTAATCATGGTGTAAAAATAACTTTTTATACAAAGTTTGTGGTATAGATATTATATATGCAAGTTTGGGTATTCATGTGACACCCTTTCAAAGTTTGGGATATTTACATTATCTTCTTTTTTTATTTAAATACCGCTTTTATTTAAATACGGAGTATAAACTTACTCCCTCCGTCTCATAAAATAAGTCTCATTTTTCTTTTTGGGTCGTCCCAAAAAATTGTTCTCATTTCCCTTTTTGGAAAGTTTTGTGTGACTAACATTCATTTACTCCCTCCGGTTCTTATTAAAGTTATCAGTTTGACTTCACACATATTAAGAAAATGAATTTGACTTTACTGTGGAGTGCACTGTTTGGCACTGTTTGGACACTGTTTGGCACTGTTTTGCATTGTTTTGTTTCCTAAAATGGAAATGTGAACTTAAATAAGGGACATCCCAAAAAGGTAAGTTGAAACTTTAATAAGAACCAGAGGGAGTACCTTTTTGTTACTCAACTACAATCATACATTTCCACTTTATTCTCACTTTCTTAAATTCCGATCCAAATTGAAATGAGACTTATTTTATGGGATGGAGGAGTATGAGAGTATCTTATAAGTACTCTTAATGTTGCTGACTTGCTGTAGAACTAAAGCAACTTGTTCTTCTACAATTTGGTGCAGTCATTGTACCATGTGGAGGTGGTTTGGTTTACCAGCACGTAGGTGGTATAAATTCCAATGACCATTCATTATTTATCTTCACATCCAACTATTCACCCGCTTTCTGTGTGTTGGCTTCACCTTTTAATTACGTAGTAGTCCATCCGTATCAAAATAATTGACCTACATTGACTTTCACACAGATTAAGAAAATGAAGTTGACGCTGTTTGGCACTGTAGTGACACTGTTTGGCACTGTTTTGCATTGTTTGAGACAGTTTTGTATAGATTTGTTTACCAAATAATGCAGGGTTTTTGAGTGGTTAGCTAGGAGGGGAATACTTTGGAGAGCTTATTCCATATTTCCATATATCTCAATAAGATATTTTGTAAATTCAAAGAAAAGAAGATTGAAACGCTAAATAATCCCGTATTATGTTCGTATTTTTACTGCTAATAAAATGTCAAATGCATTGTCTTCCATAGTCTTTCACTCCATGACCTATATCAGTTCATGGGTTCGTATATGGTGCATCCGGGTGTATGTACACCCGGCCCAAATAAGAAAGACAGCACAACAATGAATACAAACTAAAAAAAAATCGATGGCATTTTTGTAATATAAGTGAAAAGTCACGGTTTCCGCTAAATGAGCAATAGTGTACATGTAGTGAGCATCTGACCTATTTTAATGAGTATTTAGAGCCTAACAATGAGTATCCTGATTTTTGCTTCATATCTTCTAATTCAATTTTTTTACTTATTTTTTCTTTTATAAAAAGTAATTGAATTATATCTATAATACACTCCTATGAATTTCCATATGCGAATTTAATGCAATATGATACTTTTAAAATATGCATTGATATAACATTTTAAAATGAGCATAACATTGGTACCAAATGAGTATACGTAACTTATAAAATGTTTATTGATATGAAAATCGTAAGATTTGTTAGTTTAACATAACGATATGTTCATTGAGCACCAAACCTCATTTATTGAGATGAAAATCAAGCTTTCTGTTAAATGAGTATACCATTATTACCAAATGAGCATGCATAACTTACGAAATGAGTATCAAAAAATTTAAAAACGCATTTTTGTGTGCTCATTCAATTTGGACGTTATACTCATTTGAATTTAACATAAAACTCATTTCTATTGTGCTCAATATGTGTTCAAATTTCATTTGTGTATTGATATGACATATGAATAAACGAATTTTCTTTTGGCTCTTTTGATCGATCTTTCTTCCTAAATCTTGTTTCTCCTAGCTCGGATTTTCCTCCTCTTTCTTTTCCACCGATTGGATTTGGAAGATTTGGGTTTTTAAGATGGAAAATGACGGATTTCTGAAGATTTGTGCGCAGCAATTTACTATTCACAGTTTTGATTTTATGGTCTTTAATCCAAAATTTGACGGTTGTTGTTGGAATCAAAGAGTGTTGTGGGGGTCGCCACCTCTAGGCGCACCTCTCCAACCCTTTTCCGGTGGCCGGAGGTACTGTTTGGCCGGAGTTAGCAAAGAGCAGTTGTGTCCACCACTGTTCAGAGCAGTCTTGTTTTTTGTTCGTATCTCCCAAACGACATGTTTAAATCAAATTCTGAGAGTTGTTCTGGACTCGTCTTGCTGAGGCAAAGCTTTTGACACTAGTTTCGTCCAATTTGAGTAAGTTTTTCGTTTTCCCCAATTTGAAGCCATCCTTCGAGCGGAGAACAAGGCAGGCACGCTAGCGGACTCCAACTCCATGAAAGAAGCAACGGAAGCTTGAATCATCAGACAGAGAAGTTGATAATAATTTCAAAAATACCCGGATGTACAGTGAGGACCGTACATCCGGGTGTACGGTATAATTTGCCATCAGTTCATCAAAACAAACCCTTGGAATTTTAAAAAAAAGGCACTTAAGTAACAATAAATGATATGCACAGGGTTGATCATAGTCCACCATGGGAGGTTCTCCATTATACTTTCCTAAGCGTGAGTCATATCTCATGATAACAACCTCAGTCGATTCTCTTATCCCGTTTGGTGACCTCTTTTTCGGTTTATCAAGCTTATCAGCCAGTTTTTCCACCAAACACGTAACTTTTGATTTCGCGCGCTGAATTTTGTAATAAACAGAAAAAGTAAGGTTGAAGTTACTTTTATGACTGTATTCCACCAAACACGTAACTTTTGATTTCGCGCGCTGAATTTTGTAATAAACAGAAAAAGTAAGGTTGAAGTTACTTTTATGACTGTATTGACTGAAGTCACTGTAGAGGATCATTTTAGCTATTATTTCATAAAATTTTTTATTTAATTTATTAATAACAAATATTTTAAATATGATTTTTCATAAACCAGCGGAATCAGCCAACACAGCCACTTCAGTCAGAATTTCATAAATTTCAGCAGAATAAATCAATTCAGCCAATTTTAGTGTTACCAAATTATCTGATTAGGCCATCTCATCTCACCAAAATAAATAAAAAACGTAATTGATTAAACAGCTTGAAATTGAATAAAAAATCGATGCATACAATATATACACTTGAAATTGAACAGTTACAGAGCATTACAGTAAAACTCCATATTACTGTAACACTGTTTTATTAATTCATTTGACCCTTTAAGGTGCGGCGGTGATGCACTTGAGTATTGCCGGAATCTTTCATTTTATCGCCGGCGATTGATGGTGGTGGTCAATGACAGCGAAGCTTGATGGCCACTTGCTTTTGCAGCGGCGGCGGCATTAAAAAGCATCGAACTTGCAGCTCTGTTGGTAAAGGTCATATCTTTCCTGGGAGAGCGCTCGTCGGACAGCAGGGATCTCCGGTGAGAAGAGCCGTCACCGGATTCAGCTCCGATCAACAAGTGGTAGCTCCGGTTAGAGGCATCGGAGAGGCGCCGGCCGAAGCTCTGATGATTGGGCCTTTGCTTCTTGATTGCGTGGATCAGATAAGGGATTAATCCTTCCATTTCTGCGCTTTGAATTTCGTTTAATTAGTACTTCCGATTATAATGTTTCTGTAATCCACAGGAGCTGAGACGTATTTATAGTGGATCCAGGAGATGTAAAATTAAGGTCAATTAATTATGTAATTATCCACAAGGGGATACATGGAAATTTCTAGCAGGATAAGAATAAAGAGCGTTGACCTTTCCTGGATGAAGCTGTGCGTTGAATTTATAAGATAGCCGAATAAATTGAAACTTGAAAGCAGACGGTCATGATGAATAAACATGTTGAAAATGTGACTGGTTTGATAGCCCCAGGTTTAGGTTTATCCATGTTAGAGATCAGGTTTAGGTAAACATTTCTTATGCGAGTGGATTGATCATGTTTGAGTATACTTTCATGGGAAATTATTTTTGAAAATGCTACTTGTTTTTTATGTGACTGGATTGATCGTGTTTTTGTACATGTTTTTGTTTGTGTACAAATAAATTGAAGGGATAATCATATTTTTTGTGTCTCAACTAGTCACCATATTGAAATATCAGACTCGTATTTTTGAAACTATAAATGTCACATCCGAATTGACAGATGTGTTATAAATGTTATCTTTGTCATTTATAATCCATCTCCATTTTAGACTGCCAATTAATTCATCGAGGATGAAATTTACAATACATCTGTCAATGCGGAGTGACATTTACAATCTCAGAAACACAATTCTTACATTTCAATATGGTGACTAATTGAGCGAACAAAAATGTGTTTTCTCCTAAATTGAATGTTTTGTCTACATACATACAGCTTGAACATGCATGCAATTTAGAGCCCATTTGGTGACATCGTTTTTGATTTATCAGTTAACTTTTTCATCAACACATGTAATTTTTGATTTTGAGCACTGAATTGTGTAATAATAAGAAAAAGTAAGATCGAAGTTACTTTTCTGGTTGTATTGGCTGAAATTACTGTATAAGATCATTTTAGCTGTTTTTAATGTAATTTTTTCTTTATTTGATTAATAAAACATATTTTAAACATAATTTTTTCATGAATCAGAATTAGCCAATCCAACACTTCAGACAGGATTTCATAAATAGGACGCTCGTAGGCTTTTAGGAAAGCTACGTACGACACTCAAGCAGGAAATAGAAAAGTAATATGAATAAGGAAAGTTGGAAAGGGAATTTGTTAGCCAAAAATAGCATAAAGAATTTGTTCCCTCTAATTTGAATTACAAGCCGCATTTTATAGGCGTATACAAATCGTAACCGCTATCAATAATAATGATTAATTAATTACAACATTAATACAGAATTAAATACATAATTAAACAACGCATTAATTGCTTGACCGTTACTCTTCTTGACTATCAGGTCGGTCGGGCTGGCAGGCTCCCGACTGGGCTGCTAGGCAGGCTCCAGGTTGTGGGCTTGGGACCCACAGTCCAAGTTCGGGGTTTGGACTGATTTGGCTCTAGGCCCTAGTTTCATAACTCCATCAAGTTTAATTCGGACTAGAATTATAAATTTCAATAAAATTGAAAACGTAATGATGATAAAAAATTTTACTAAAAATATATCATCTCTCCGCCTCATCAAATTTTGTCAACTTTCATTTCTTGTTTGTCTCCAAACTTTATAACATTTCCTTTAAAACAAATAATTTTTGGCTATGCTTATTTCTTTCTTCTCTACACAATTTACAATCACATACTTCGTAGTTTTACTTTTCTTATTTCACACTCAATACAAATTTGACAATGTTCACCTAAATTATATATACTTGAAATATACTTCGTAGTTTTACTTTTCTTATTTCACACTCAATACAAATTTGACAATGTTCACCTAAATGATATATACTTGAAATATACTTCGTATTCGTAGTTTTACTTTTTTTTTTATTTTACACTCGATACAAATTTGACAATGTTCACCTAAATCATATATACTTGAAATATACTTTGTAGTGTTCTTATAGTTGCGCAGATTTAATCATTTTAAATCCATTTAATACATTTTAACTTTTTAAGTGATGAGCTTTGTTTGGGGTACACACTTTTTGTGTACACACTTTTTACACATGTCTGTGTAAGGTTTTTTTTGTCTGTACAGACAAAAAAAAACTTACACAGACATGTGTAAAAAGTGTGTACACAAAAAGTGTACCTTTAGAATTTTTCAAAAGTGATTGTATCAATGAGGCGGGCCTTAATCACCCTTGATCAAATGTCTACCTACAACGTTTAATTATTATGCAGTATTAATTAAACCATCAAACTCAAATATAATAGCGGTTTGAGAGCTAGGGCGTTGACAAATATAGCAACGTTGACGTTAAAATCTTTACAATCATAATAATTTAAACGCTAATATAATTCTTAATTAATGAAGTATTAGTCAAGTACCTTGTAATCTGATGATATTATTGCTAACTTTCAAAAGAGGGGGTCAGTGTTCGAGTCTCATCCCAATCAAGGATGTTGACATTGACATAAGCTGATACTATAATAGGTTTAAAAGAATATTCTAAAAAATATTAATGAAGTATTGATAATAATCTTCTAAAAAGTACTAATATAATAACTATATTACATGAAAATAGTACCTTATGCTTTTTTTTTTCTCTTTCAATGTCTAGTTTTCAAGTCAAGTCCACAACTATACGCACAATTCATCATACACACGTGCAAGCACACATATATAATCATTTATTACGAGAATATGCGGAGTATATGACTTTTGTCATATTTAAAGCCATTTTGCAAAAAAAAAATGGTTGGGATTGAAAAATTCTACAAACAAAATAAGTCTGTTTCTGTCTGTGGACTGGAATTCACATACAAAAAAACTCTCACAGACACGAAAATGTACTGATGTGTATAAGAAGGTGTACAAAATGATTTTTTTGTTTGCAGTTTGACATATCTTCTACTAGTTTAATTTACAACGTCATCTTTAAATTTGTATGTTTAATTACTGATGCTAATTTAAATACTGATTGGAGCAAATGATTTTGGCTTCTGTCAATTCTTTTTATCTCAGGCAAAACTTCTCTAATTGGGGCAAAGGGAGTTCTTCCACACCAAGTACATTGTGGTCCGAGATATTATTGTGACACTTCAAAGAAAAAATCGCATGTTCGAATCTCATCCTATTTCAAGGATGTTGGTCTTAATAGAAAAGATGCTATAATAGGTTAGAAATCTTTCCTTAAAAAAAATAATTTTAAAAATAAATTAAAGTTTCTTACAATTAATTAATCGAAATGAAGATATATAGTCAGAGACATCAGACACGCATGGCGCAATAACTTTCATTGTCATTAGATATTGTTGCTTATTTTTAACGTGTTCATCAAAAGTTTAATTTATTCTCATATACTACCTCGGTGGACTTTGTCAAGTACAAAGTAGGTGAGAAATAAAAAAATAATAAAAATTGTGTCGATAAGATTTGTGCGGAGGAGCGAGAAATATGCAGAACCACAAACTAATTGCTTTAATATGAAAGTGCCAAAATTTTTTGGGACAATAAAAAAACAAAAGTTGACAAAGTCCAATAATGGGGCGGAGATCGAGAGTATATAAAATTCACTTTTATACGTTTTAGTTTCTTGAAAAAATTAAATTATATGTGGGATCGTTACACCGTGACAACGTGTGGACTGTAGAGAAAGGAGAAAGATGGATTGATATATTGATCTTGATAAAACAATATGATACATACGTACATCTTAAATAGCCTCATCAAGACTTGATGATAAGACTCACTAATAACTATCAAGCTAACGTTTAGGAGTTAAACTAGGTACACAAACTGCATATGTAAACGGATATACATGGCTAAACAATTGTACAAATATTATATTTAAATTATGTCGTAATACGCCCCCGCAAGATGGAGGTTCCGTCAGAAACTCCCAGCTTGGACCGAAACTGTTCAAACAAGGATCTGCTCAATGGTTTAGTGAGGACATCAGCAACTTGAAGCTTGGTAGAGATATGGCACACACGTAACTGCCCACTTGAAACAAGTTCTCGGACAAAGAAAAAATCCAGAGCGAGATGCTTCATCCTGGAATGAAATACCGGATTAACACATACATATGTGGTCCCTTGATTATCGCAGTATAGTGTAGGTGTAGTAGGAGATGCAACACCCAATTCACTAAGAATATTTCGGATCCAGAGTAGTTCAGCACTAGTATTAGCAACTGCCCGATATTCCGCCTCAGTGGAGGAACGAGAGACACATTTCTGTTTGGCAGATTTCCAAGAAATGATATTTGGACCAAGATAAATGGCATAGGCAGTAGTGGAACGGCCGTCATCATGAACTCCCCCCCAATCGGAGTCAGAGAAAGCTGTTAAACTGAGTCCGCCAGAGCGACGTAGAAATAATCCGTGATTAATTGTACCTTTAAGGTACCTCAGTACACGTTTAACTGCCTGCCAGTGAGCTTCAGTAGGCCGGTGCATATACTGTGAAAGTTTATTAACTGAAAACGAGATATCAGGTCTCGTAAAGGCTAGGTACTGGAGATGTCCAAGAGCCCTGCGATAGGGAGTGATATCACTCAGTGAAGATGCCTCCGTAACCTGGAAGGATGGATTAGTGCTCATTGGTGTGGTGGCCTCTTTAGCACCTAACATGGCATAGGTCTCCAGTATATTAAGAATGTACTGACGTTGCGAAAGAAAAAGACCAGTGGAGGTGGGTATCACTTCAATCCCAAGAAAGTGATGTAGAGGGCCTAGATCTTTGACAGAAAATGTGGTTGTGAGCCTAGACACAAACATATCAATAGCCGACTGGGAATTACCTGTGAGAACAATATCATCTACATATACCAAAAAATAAATAAGAGTACCGCCATGAGAGTATATAAATAAGGAGTTATCTGCATGAGATTTTCGAAAACCCGTCCGTAGTAGAAAGCGAGAGAGCTCCATATACCATGCCCTAGGTGCCTGTTTTAATCCATATAATGCCTTCCGAAGTTTACAAATATAGGTGGGATGCTCGGTATCAACAAATCCCGGTGGTTGAGTCATATAGACCTCCTCAGCCAAAGTGCCATGCAGAAATGCATTATTAACATCCAGTTGCCTAAGCGGCCAGTTCTGAGATAGAGCAGTAGTTAAAATAATGCGTACTGTTGCGGGTTTGGTGACTGGGCTGAAGGTTTCCGAATAATCACGCCCAGGTTGCTGGAGAAAGCCACGAGCAACTAGACGAGCCTTAAACCGAGCAATACTCCCGGCTGCATTTCGTTTAATGCGAAATAGCCATTTGCATGTGATCGGCGTATGAGAGGTACGAGGAACAAGGTCCCATGTATGATTACGTTGGAGGGCATGAAATTCGTCATCCATAGCTCGTTTCCATTTGGGGTCATTTAGTGCGGCTTTGACCGAATTAGGTTCAAGAGCAGGTGAAATGGGGTGCACTGCTGTATTATTCACAAAGGGACCACCTATGTATTTGGGATTTGGCTTACGAGTTCGGGTTGGGCGGTTTGTGGGTGCATGGGATGATGTAGAGTCGTTGTTGAGCATAGACGGGGAAGGGGGGTGTGGCGAGGTGATAAGGGTATTGGGCGGTGGGGAAATTAAATTGAGGTGGTTTGTAGTTTCCGTAAGTGTAGGAGTTGGTGAAGTGGGGTTAAATGATGGATGAGGTGGGATGGGAGAGTTTGGCAGTGTGTCATTTTGGGATGAATTAGATGACACGTGGGTGGAAGGTGATAAAAGAGAGGGAGGAGTCAGTTGTGGATAAGCTGGGGTTGTTGGAGTGGAATGTGGAGCAGTGGTTTCGGTGTTTTGAAAAGAAGTGGGAGGAGGGGTGCCACGTATGCAGGGGAGAGAGTCTTGTCGACTAGATGCAGGTAGCTGCATGGCTTGCGGATGAGACGTACAAGGGGACCGAGAACGGAAGAGAAATTCATGAGGCACAAACCGTACATGGCGAGATACATATACTCGACCAGAGACAGGTTCAAGGCATAAGTAAGCTGATTGGGATGTGGAATAGCCAACAAAAATACATTGTTGAGACCGAGGTTGAATTTTGTTGGAATTATACGGCCTTAACCAAGGGTAACAAGTGCACCCGAAGGGTTGCAATTTTGAGTAGTTTGGAAGAGTATGGTGTAACTGATAATAGGGACTGTCATTTTGGAGAGTGGGTGTAGGGAGCCTGTTGATAAGATAGACAGCAGTTTGAAACGCATAGGACCAATATGTGAGTGGGAGACCCGAGAAATGAAGGAGAGCGAGACCCGTGTCAACAATGTGACGGTGTCGACGCTCCGCAAGGCCGTTATGTTCAGGGGTGTGAGGGGGTGAGGTAAAGTGAGAAATTCCATGAGAATTAAGGTATGACTTAAGTTTAATATATTCACCGCCGTTGTCAGAAAATATGGAAATTATGGGAAGATTAAAAATTTTTTCAACAAGACGGTGAAATTGTGGAAAAATGACAGACACATCAGATTTATTTTTGAGTGGATATAACCAAATGTAACGTGTGAAAAAGTCAACAAAAATTACATAATAGGAATATCCATCAACAGATTTTGTGCTTGTACTCCACACATCAGAATAAATAAGTTCTAATGGTTGTTTGGCAGACATTGTATTGGAGAAAAATGGTAACTTGGTACTTTTATTAATAGAGCAGGACGTACAATGTGACACATTTTGGGTGGTACACGGTATGTGACGTTTATTCTGATTTAGAATATAACTAAAAGTACGACTAGACGGATGACCCAATGTGTGATGCCAATGAGATTGAGTCATTATTTGAGATGTATGAATTTGAGGTGACCGGATGACAGGTGCATAATAGACATCATGATGATTCTCCCCTCGCATTAGTGGTGCCCCCGTGCTGCGATCCTTAACAAGAAAATGAGAAGGAAAAAATTCAACAGACACATTATTAGTTTTGCAAAGTTTGGCAACAGATACAAGATTTTTATTAAGGCTAGGGACACAAAGGATATTTGGTAGGGAGAGTGGGCGGGTGGGTGTGGTCAACACGGTGGTACCTGTGTGAGTAATAGAGAGTAACTTACCATCACCTAATTGAACTTCATCGGGACCACCATAATCAGTATAGGTGGGAAGGGTGGAGACATCGGACGTGACATGATGAGAGGCCCCACTGTCAAATAACCATGGTTGTCCGGAGGCATCGCAAGTCGTCGTATGGTTGATGGCTGGACTGGATGGATGCGGAACATTATTATCTCGAAGAAAACGTTGCAATTTTCGACACTGCCGGACATCATGTCCTTGATTATCACAGAAGCGGCAGGTGATTGGAGTAGAGCCACGGGATGAGTGTTGAGAGTAGGAGCTCCTGCCACGTCGTGAAGGAGACCCATGATGATTACCTCTGAAGCTGTCACGTCGATATGCATGATGGGCATGATTGGCATGATGAGATGAGATATTAGTGGCATTAACCGTAGGTAACAAAGCATGAGTGGAAGCAACTTGATCCATGGACCGTTTTTCTTGTTCAAACAGAATGGTTTGAAGTTGTGAGAGCGGAAGTGGGGTTTCACGGATGCGGATGGCAGATGTGAGATCCGGATATTCAGAACCCAAGCCATTTAGAATATGAACAACAAGGTCTTCTTCGGATATAGGATTTTGAGCAAGTGCTAGAGCATCAGCAATGGCTTGCATGTCAGTGAGATAATCCGTCACGGATCGGGCCCCCTTCGTGGTGCGGGACAATGCTGTTTTGAGGGAGATGATGTGCCCACGAGAAGTGCTGGCGTAGGTGGTGGACAATTTGTCCCATGCATGTTTCGCCGTGGGTGATGTTGAGATGATGGGTTGGATAGGATCCGAGCAGCTACCAATGAGAGCACTGAGAATGGTCTTGTCCTGCCGATACCAAATGGTATAGCGGGGGTTAAGTTGCGTTTTGGCAGCATCAAGGAACCGATCGGGAGTAACAATTCCGCCATCAACATATTCTTCAAGCCCTAACCCAATAAGGGCAGCATGGACTTGGCATTTCCAAACTGGAAAATTGTTTGCCGTCAGTTTGATCGGAAAGTGAGTGGATGCAGTGATAGAAACAACCGAGGTGGTTTCAGTGATGGTCATGATTAAGGATCAAAAAGGAAAAAAAATAGCTCGTTAGAGTGAGGCTCTTGATACCATGTAGAGAAAGATGGATTTATATATTGATCTTGATAAAACAATATGATACATACGTACATCTTAAATAGCCTCATCAAGACTTGATGATAAGACTCACTAATAACTATCAAGCTAACGTTTAGGAGTTAAACTAGGTACACAAACTGCATATGTAAACGGATATACATGGCTAAACAATTGTACAAATATTATATTTAAATTATGTCGTAATATGGACGAGGTACCGATATCACGTGTGGATTTCCTTTTTGGTAGCTGGTCAAATAGATGATTTAGACAATTTCTTCTTGGTAGACATTCTTTTGTTAGTTGTTGGTCAAATATTTGTAATTTGTAAGACCATTCCATGGCTACCTGGTGAAACTGATATTAATCAATACCCCCTTTTCGGTGGGTGATGAAGCAAGAGCATTCATTTGTAATTTTTCATTTTTCACTTAAATAGCAAGTGTAACTAAACTACGAGACTAGACTACATTACTGCGTGATTAACGATTCGCAAGGATTGACATAATTTTATATCTCATTCTATTGTAATCTTTGATTATTTATTCACTTGTTTCTTTGCTATCATTTAAACAAATTAATCATTTCATTTTCTAAACACAACAACAACTATTATTAGATACACTATTATAGTAAAGTACACGACCTTGAGTTATTTTCTGTGTCATGAGGGCATTAGCGTTACGAAAATCACATTTCAATTTTATAAAGGTAGCAAACAAATAAATCTAACACATTAAAAAATGAGATTGAGTAGTGACTCAAATACATCCAAAAAGTACAATGAAAATATACATCCATAATAAAGTCAAATTAATACAAATATCACACGGTTTGGAAAGTGGGTGATGAAATACAGAGCACGGAATACAAAATTTACATATGCCGGCGATCAAGCCGGAGTTTGAATTCATCGTCGGTGATTGACCGCGGTGGCCGTTGAATACGAAGCTTGATAGCCGCTTGTGGAAGAAGCAGATAAAATATTGGAATTGGGTCTGTGGCTATTTGGTAATTTTGATGGATCGGCAGCCGGGGACATCACTGACCCGCCGCCGGCAGCAGACTGAGCAGAGGATCTGTTGCTGACGGCGCTCTGATCAGGAAAAAGTTCAAGTATAGCAGGAGAGTGGAAGTCGGAGACTGTTCTCCGATGGGTAGAGCCCTCGCCGGGTTCTGGCCCGATCAGCAGGTGGTAGCTCCGGTTGGAGTTGTCGGAGAGGCACCGGCCGAGGGTGTGGTGATGATGGCGAGGCTTTTGCTTCTTGACTGCGTGAAGCAGATATGGGATTAATCCTTCCATTATACTGTATTTCTCTTCTCTGAATCTCCGATCGATCTTAGCTCGAATTTTATTCGCGGTTCCAAATATTCTTTTGATTTGTGACCGAAGAATGTGTGCATATATATACCGATAATCTATTTACTTTATGTGCTCTTTTGAATGCAAATGTTGACTTTGAACCGTCTAGATGTCTTATTTTAACCACATTTGTTATAAAAATAAACACGTTATGCCACATCTTATCTATCAAACTTATACTGCCTCCGTTCTCCAATTAAGTTCCCGGTTTGACGTCACACGTATTAAGAAAATAAATTTGATTTTACTGTGGAATGTACTGTTTTGCACTGTTTAAACACTGTTTGACATTGTTTTGCACTGTTTGACACTGTTTTGATGTAGATAATTTGCCAAATAAGGAAAGTAAGGAAGTGCGAACTTAATTTAGGGACTGCCCAAAAAAGAAATAAAGTGGTAACTTAATTGGGGGACGGAGGGAGTATAAGAGGCCGTTTGGTAACACTATTTATCGGCTTATCAGGCTTATCAGCCAACTTTTTCACCAAACACGTGACTTTTGCTTTCGCGCGCTGAATTGTGTAATAAGCAGAAAAAGTAAGGTTGAAGTTACTTTTCTGGCTGTATTGGCTGAAGTTATTGTAGATGATCATTTTAGCTATTTTTACATATAATTTTTTCTTTATTTTATTAATAAAGTATATTTTAAAAGTGTTTTTTTCTTAAATCAGCAGAATCAGCCAATGCGGCCACTTAAGCCAGAACTTCATAAATTTCAGCAGAATCAGCCAAATCAACCGATTTTCGTGCTACCAAATGGGCTCTAAATATGCAATAATTTCAAGAAAATCATGAATATGTAGGAGGACACAATCAATTGTTCAATTCAAAATATAGTAATTAACAAAAAAAATATAGAAATTAAATGACTATATCTACATTGCATTCTCATTAAATTAGTTATAATTGCATTTTGATTCCAGTGTATATGTACATATGTTTAATTTATAAAAATGTAATTTTTTTTTTGAAGGATATAAAAATGTAATTATGCCTGCACAATGTAAAACTTTTAAACCTCGCCCCTAACACGCTACATTTCTGGTCCCACCATTTGCATATACAATTGATTTTTTTATACATCCGAGTTGAAATTGATGGTTTCAAATATATCGAAAATAATTCCTTATCCCCTAAACTCGAGGCAAGTAGAAATTATCAAGGTGATACATGAAGTATTGAATATGTAATAATCTAGTAAGCATGTTTACGTAGAAGATAAGTAAACTATAAATATATACATTGAACATTGTTTTGGTAGGACAACGATGTACTTACCTGGATTGATTTAAGTTCAAGACTATAACAGAATAAATCAGATCAGATTTAAACATATCAGATCATACTTTAACATTTATAAAATACACATTGATCAAATATTTACCATACTAGATCAGTCTAATTCAGATCAAAACATGTCATAGACTCATAGTTAATCGGACCAGAAAATTAAAATTCAAAATTCAAATTACTCGTTTGGAAAATGATCTAGCTAATGCGTTACGTTGCATGTGCGTAATGTGTTACGTTATTGACCTAAGAGCATCCACACTCATGCTTTTAACATAATCTGATTTTTTGTGATTCTTACCTTTTAATATCTGTCACATAATTGTTTTAGAAATAATCTTGTCCCCTCTAAATTACTTTCAACCATCATCCTGAAATAATATAATCTTTTGTGGGTCATTTATTAACTAATTAACTCTAACTTCATAAATAATCTCAAAATAATCCGGTTTATATTTTGATCTCAGATTATTCTATCAATTAATCATGTCAAATAATCTCTCTCACCCAACAATGTTCCCCGAAATAATCTGACATGTCACTAGAATAATCACTTAATAATCTCATGGATGGTGATGCTCTAATAGATCAAGGATGATATTGTACCACTTGTACGTGTAGGATGATATTTATGGCACTTATATTTCCGATTTTGATCCAATTTTACTTGTGAATCAAGGTGAGGCATTGACTTTTGTCCAAGTACCGTATGTGCCAATGTGCGTTTCCAGTTTGGCTAGTGGTTTTATCAAGGGATTCAAGGCTACCACCAAATTACCAATCGGAATTAAATGTCCCTTTCAAAAAAAATATGGACTATCTTAAATTTGATGATCATGTTTTTCGGTTTATCAATCAACTTTGTCATCAAGTACGTACCTTTTGATTTCACGCGGTGAATTATGTAATAATAAGAAAAAGTAAGATAACATAGAGGAACTAGCGGTCCAAAGAGATCGAGGAGCGAAGGGGGAAACCCTAGTTGCCTCTTCCTTTTCTTTTCTTCTCTTTCTTCAATTCTTTTGGCTTCAATCATGGGAAAGATTCGCTCAATCACTACTTTCAGTTCTATCTATATGTTTATAAGTTTATTTCCTAGTGTTATCTAGAGATGTTATTTTCGGTAGCGAATTGTTGTCTTCCATATGTATATTCCCCACCATAATCGGTCGGGTGTTCTTGTGTGGTAGTAATATATTTCTAGCGGCTTCTTCATCAATCATGAATATGAATTTCTTTTGTATCAATATTGAGGCCGATTTCCCCCTCCTGAACCATCGCCAATCCAGGAGATTAGATTGCATGGGTTGCTTTCTTTCCGGTGGCTGGTGAAACCTGAACAAATTCTGCAATTGACTCCTTATTACCAGTGTCATTAGTTCATTTTCGGTGGCTATTTCAAGCGGATCCATTTTAAGTATTATGAGCAGTCACAATAGGGTACTAGTCTACATCGTTGCGAGGTTAGCGAACAGGAATGCCTTTATAGGTCTTTTTTGTTCTTTGTCTCACCTTGGTGTAGCTTTGAACGCTATGATTGTAATGCTTTGGTTTTTTGTTGTTATGTTCCTTGATATTCTTATCAATAATAATTAAGTTATTTGTTTTCAAAAAAAGTAAGATTGAAATTAATTTTTTGGCTATATTGGTTGAAGTTACTGTAGAAGACCATTTTAGCTATTTTTCATATAATTGTTTTTCTTTATTTTATCAATAAAATATATTATAAATATACTTTTTTCATTAATAAGAAGAATCAACCAATCCAACCACTCAGTCAAAACTTTATAAATTCCACCAGAATCAGCCAATTAGGCCGATTTCGGTATTTCCAAACGGGCTCTAAGTCCTTCCAACCAATTTAACGTGCGAAATGAAGAATGAGTTAACTTTACTTATTTTGAAAAAATTATAATTAAATTATATTTTATTGATAAAATAATAATAAAAACAGAACGAACAAATAGCTAAAATGACTCTCTACAGTCGATTCAACCAATTAAACCATGAAAAAACTATATCCTTACTTAGTTTAATTATTACTCAAATCGGTGCACATAATAAGAAATTATGAGCATGTTGCATTGATAACATTGAAATTGGCTAGCTAAATCAATTCGGTGAAATTGGTGAAGTTTGGGCTAAAGCGGTTTAATTGACTCAATATATTGAAGTATGGAAAATTATATTTGCAATATATGTTATTAAGAAAACAAGTAATATATATATATATATATATATATATATATATATATATATATATATATATATATAACATAATAGATAGTATGATAGTATTATATATAGTTCTCTTCACTAACTTCAGTTAATTCAGCCAGAAAAATAACTTAAATCTTACTCAATTTCATTATTACATCATTCAAAATTTACATGTTTGATAAAGAATTACTCTCTCCGTTCCCCTAACTTTGTCTCGTTTTACCTTTTTCGTCCGTCCCATTATGTTTGTCTCATACCATATTTGGTAATATTTGGGTGGTTACAATTCATTCTTACTTGTGTTCACATTTTATCAATTCAATACCAACCACACAATTCCATTTTTTCTTAAAAGTTGTGCCACACTCCTTTGTCCCAAACATAGTGGGACGGAGGTAGTAGTTGATAACATCGATAAACCTGAAATAGCTAGGGACTACTAAATGAACTGTATGTGTTTGATAAAAAAGTTGACTGATAAAGCTGGGTTACTAAAACTTAGAACGTTTAGGTGAAATGAAATAATTGATTCCATAGAGAATTGTTTCTTTTATCGTGTTTCAACAATCAATACTCTTTGCATAGAACTTTAATTCGTTGCTTTTTTATTTCTCTCAAAAACTTTAAACTTGTTATTCTTTGTAAATTGTAAATGTTTCAATCAATATCTTTGAAGGTTATTTACTAAGATATGGTGTGTGGTAAAGGTTGATCACAATAACTAATACTCCCTCCATCCCTAAAACAATGTCCTACTTTGACTTTACTCTTATTAAAACAAGGAAAATTTTGACTTTGACTTCCCAAAAATACCCTCACAAAGGTGAGGGTATTACTGTTAATACTCATGGTAAAAAAAGAAAGCGAAGGGGGCCGAAATAAGGAGAAGAAAATGAATGGACATTAAGCCTTAAAGTACAATGTCTAGTTAGACACGATGGTAAGCTACAATGCATACCAATTGTCTTCCAAGACAATTTGGATGCCAAAATTTCAAAACTCCCTCCAAATTTTCACTTCAAATGTTTTTACACTTTCTAATATACCAATGGCCTACAACTACAAATGAACCACATTCATTACAAGTGAATAGCAATCAATGGACACAGGTCAAGAACAGTTTGTGGCTTCACTGGAATCACTGCCACTTGGTAATACACTCTCCTTCGATTTCAACAAGTTGCCCTTGGATGTGGTTGATGTCGGCCCCTTGTCACCTACAAACAACTCACAATTAGAAGATGAAGCGCAACAACCTACAGTTCAAAGGCAGAGAGGTATCAGACCCAAAATATAGCAGTGATGATAGGAGAAGATTAAATGAAAAGTTGTTAGGTAGTTCTAGTGATGGAGTATATGGCCCAGGAACCCCCGACCTACATACTTCCACTACTACAATCAGGACCAACAGGCCCAAGTGGCCCAAACAAAGCAAACTGGACTCCGGACAGCCCATACTACAACACGGTACGTACGTCCCACCTGGTCCGGGAACATCACTAGGGACGTATGTCCTTCACCACATGACGGCCCTTTGGGGACATACGTCCTTCACCACATGACGGCCCTTTGGAGACGTACGTCCTTCACCACATGACGGTCCTTTGGGGATGT